TGTAGAATCAATTAAGGGAGTACCGTTTTTATGAAAGTGAGCCTGGCAGTTTCTTTGCCAGTGGTATCCTGTTAGACACTGAGGACACGAGTTAAGTGGTCTCTTCAGGTCTCTACTTTCAGTGGGGCCAAAAGTATTAGAATTTACGGTCCCTCCTGTTCTGTTTGGACATAGTTTATAGATATGTCCAGGACTGCCACATGAATAACATTTTCAAATCAGACCTGTCTGATTTGGTTTTTCTTTCTCCTAATTGTTGAGAAATTGGGTGGTAGTTTGGCCCTGTAAAGCTGCTGCAATGGCCACACCTTGAAGATATGAAGGAGTAACCTCAATACATGCCTTAATATAGTCAGAAATATTTCCAGATTTTTTTAATTGTCTTTAGAAGGGATTGACAAGTAGGTGTGGCGTTTTCAAAAGCCAGCTGTTTCAAAATAATATCTTCAGCCTCAGAGCTAAGAAACATCCTTTCTACTGTCTCTGTTAGCCGGGCTACAAACTCCTCGAAAGGTTCTTCTGGTTTCTGCTTTATATATTAGCCAGTTACTGAAGCTCCAATTTTATAAAATAAACACTAAAATTAATAATATATTATGTATAATATATTATTTTATAAAATAATGTGTGTGTGTGTGTGTGTGTGTGTGTGTGTGTGTGTGTGTAGAATACCCTACCCTACAGACATGGAATACATGTTTCTTTAGGTAGCACATGCAAACTACTCCAAAACTGATAGGGGTCTAAGTAAAACAACAATAAATTAATTCTGAAACCCATAGATGCCAAGAAAATAATATAGATTGGGGAAGAAAGTAAAAAATAGATTGTAATAGAACAATACATAATTAATCAAACGAAGAGTTGATTCTTTGAAAAAGTTAGCAAGTTTGGCATATAACCATTTGCCAAATTGACAAAATGAGAAAGAACTCTGAAGTTAATAAAAACAAAGATGAATAAACTGTTGTTACAACAGATTTCGATGATTGTCATAAAACCCTTTGAGACAGCTTCAAAAACTTATACTCCAAAACTGAGAAACTCAGAAGAGATGAGTTTCTCAATGCAGAAGACCTACCAAAATTAAAGGCAAAACATCCAACTTAAAAACATCCATTACAGCAAACAGAAAAATCCATGACCAAATGTCTCCCCACAATATAAATCCCAGTACTAGATACATTTATTGCTAGTTTTTAAACATACATTTTTAAAAATTATTATTTTTTCAATTATGTGTATGGGTTGCCAAGGTAGGCAAGAGGAGGCCATAGGATCCACTGGATCTGTGATCCTCAACCTGTAATATTTATGTGTTGTAGTCATTAATTTTGCTCAAACCACTACCTATCCTAATGTTCTGAGTTCCCCAATGAAAGACACAGATAGGTAGCCTTATATTTAATATGCCTTAATCAGCTCAATGGTTGGGCCACTCTCAAATACCCATGTGGAATATCCCCTCTAATATTCCTAAATTATTACTTACTAAAACCTGTATTCCATCCTGGTCACCCTGGACCCAGTTGGGGGGGAGGACCCCAGAGACTTCTCTTTTCCTGTTCTTACATGTTGGGTATGCTCTCTCTTCCTGTACTTCACAGGCCTGATCTTTTTACTTTACTGGCATGGCAGTTCTCCTTTCTTCTCTCAGCCTCTTGCCCCAATCCTAAAGTCCGGCCTCTGTCTCCCTGCCCAGCCATTGGCCGCAGGGAACTTTATTTACCAATAAGAACCTACTGGGAACAGGAATCCAATCAACATAATACAAGTGTTAAACCAAGTCCACAACACTATGACTCTTTAAAATAGTTCCTCCTGTTGTGGTGACCTCCAGCCATAACATTATTTCATTGCTATTTCATAAGTGTATGATTGTTAGGAATCATAATGTAAATATCTAATATGCAGTGTATCTGACATGTGACTCCTGTGAAAGGATTGTTCACCCTCAAAGAGGTCCTGACCCACAGTCTGAGAACCACTGCACTAGAGCTATAATTAGAGGTAGTTGTGAGCCATTTACTGTCCTTGCAGTGAACAGAACTTGCATCTTCTCCAAAAACACCAAATTTCTCATCTTATAGGTGATGACTCATTGGGCTTTTGCCAAGAGGTGAAACATATGCAAATCAGTAAATGTTATACACATATAAACAGATTTAAAAACAGAAACCAGATAATCCTATCAATTGATGCTGAAAATGATTTGAAAATGCAAAATAGGTCCTCATGACAAAAGTCCTAGAGACATTAAGAACAAATTGAACATAACTCAAAATAATAAGGTCTATATTCACAACAAAGACATAGCCAAAATTATAGTAAAGGAAAAAATGAGAGAATTTCTCCTAAAGTGAAATACGATAAAAATTCTTAAACTTATTATTCAATATAATAAATGTTCTTAGTGCAATAAGACAAGAGAAAGACATTAAAGGGATAGATAAGGATAGGAAGGAAAGAAGTCAAGCCATCTGTTTAGATTTAACATGATTCCATAATAAAAGGTCCTATAGAATCTATGAGAATAAGATTTTAATAGATACTTGTAGTACAGCTTCAAGCTATAAAATCAGTATACAAAAATCTGTACCTTTCATTTCTTTGAACAACTAAGTTGGAAGAGAAAGAATTTTTTTTAAAAAAAATATTGTCTCATTGATAATAGCTCCAAAAATATAGAATATCCAGAGATAAATCTAACCATAAAGGTGACCTTAGAGACATTGAAAGGGGAAATTAAATAAGATATTGTGGAATAGGAAGGAATTACATGCTCTTGCATTGGCAGAGTTACTTTTATAAAGATGAATATTTTACCAAAAGCAATATGCAGATTCAAAGCAATCCCTTTCAAAACGATGTTATTCTTCACACATCTAGAAAAAACAAATGAATAATTCATTTGGAAACACAGACTGCTAATAGTCAAAGCAGTCCCGGTGAGAAAGAACAGAACTGCAAATATAATAATACCTGGCCTCAGAATGTACTTTAGAGCTACAGTGACAAAGTGCCATTATATTGACATAAAGGCTGGAAAGGTCAATTAATATGTCACAATAAAGAACTCAAGAATGAAATGAGCAAAACTATGGTCACCTAGTTTTTGACAAGGTGTTCAATATGTGCAATGGAAAAGGGACTGATTGTTGATCAAAGAAATCTGGTGAAAATGGTTATGAACCTACAAAACACTGCAATTAGATCCATCTCTTTCACTTTCCACAAAATCAGCCCAAGGAGGATCAAAGACCGAGAGGCTGAAACTGCTACAGAAAATCAAATAATATACTCCAAGCTATAAGTAAGTATAAGTAAGTATAGCCAAAAAGATAGCAAACTCAATTCAACTGTGTGGGTGTTGCATGTGTGTAAGAGCTGTCAGTGTATGTGTATGTGCACGCACATAAGAGCTGTGTGCATATGTGAATAAAAGCTATGTGTGTGCGTGTACATATGAATTATTTGTGTGTATACAAGTACATAAGAACTGTGTATCTGTGTATGCATGTGTATATGAGCTGTGTGTGTGTGCATGTACAAAAGAGGTGTGTTTTTGTGCATGTTTATATATGTACTTAAGAACTCTGTGTGTGTGTGTTGTGTGTTTGTGTGACTGGAGTGGGTAATTTCCTTCTACTGTGTGGGCCCTGGAAAACTGAACTCAATTCTTCTGTCTTAGTGGCAAGCGCCATTTTGCCAGACCTGACCACAGCCTTCTGAAGAGAATATCCACAGCACAGAAAATATTATAAACACTCAAGAAAAGAAACTATCAAAATTTAAATGTTGCCAAAGAGTGAAAGAAACTATAAGCAGAGGGAACAAACACCTCACAGCATGGCATAAAATCTTTACCACTTGTACTTTAGACAGCAGGCCAATACCTAGAATACACAAAGAACTGCAAAGATTAAACATCAAAACTAAACTATTAACAAAGAGATTAAGTAAACAGACAGCTCTCAAAGGAAGAAACACATATAGCCAGTATTTTTCAAAAGTGTTCAGCATTTTAGGGAATTGTGATAGTATTTTGTGCATCAAAGTTTCAGATTTAGTAGTTAATGTGGCCAATAAAATACAGAAATTACTCAGATTGTACATTGATACATTAGAAATAAAACCTTCAATTTCATTTTGCAAAAGGAAAGTGTTCAGTGTGACTAGTCCTGAGGGAACTGAAATTCAATGTACTTTGAGTTGCATCTCCCCCAAGTCAGAACAGCTATTTATTTCCAGTAAGTCTAACTGTAAATACTGGCAAACATGTGGGTAAAAAGAAACCTGTTCCCACTGCTAGTCAGGGTGAAAACTTGAACAGCTATTATGGAAGTCAGTATAGAGGTTTCACAAAATATTAAAACTAGAATTACCATATGATTCAGCTACATAACTCCTGGGTACATATTCAAAGGACTCCATATCTTATCACAGAGACACTTGCATGTTCACTGCCAGATTAATCACAGTATCAAAAAATACTAGATGTTCATCGTCAGGTGACTGAGAAATGATGATGTGATAGATAAATACCATGGGATTTTATTTATTAATCTGTAATAACAATACATTTGCAGGGTAATAGATAACGATTGAAGGCACGATGTTCAGAGAGGGGACGAAAACAGCAAAAAGAAAAAGGCACATGTTCAGATAGACAGACTTAGTGTATGATGTCATGTGTACCTGTAATTGTGTGCCAGTTTGAGTAAACCCTGGAGTACTACAAAGGATGCCAAGAGAGGTAGAAATTAGGTGCTTGAAAACTTGAGGCACCGAATCGTTGCTGATTTCTGAGCAGAGGAGGTTCGTCTTCTCCGACTCTTGTGGGGCGGTGGCCATGGCCAAGAGGCCTGCGTGAACCTTGGGGATGTGGAGCTGCAAGTCCTGGTCCTCCTGACCTGGGCAGCACAGTGCGAGAAGAGTCAGCGCCCGTTTCTCTTTGTGTTGGAGTCACCGCCAGGCCGGCAGGTTTTGGCTCGACTGTCATGGCGTCTCAGCTGAGTTCTTCGAAGGAGAAAGAGGAAAAGGCCAAGGACATTCAGGTGGTGGCGAGATGCAGCCCTCTTTTTAGGTGAACCTGTTCAACTCATGGCGGCTACAGGTGGCGCCCAATGTGGGGCCTGAAAACGAGGGAGCAACTGACAAACAGCTGTCTTGGTGAAGCTTCACGGAAAACGGAAAAGGAAATAGTATCCTGCACACTTGACCATTTAATTTGGCAGAGCGGAAAGCTAATGCCCACTCAGTGGTAGAATGTGATCATGCACTGAAAGAAGTTAGTGTTCAAACTGCAGGATTGACTGACAAGACCTCAAGGAAAACATACACGTTTGATATGGTGTTTGAAGCATCTACAAAACAAATTGATGTTTACCGATGCGTTGTTTGTCCAATTCTAGATGAAGATATTATGGGCTATAATTGCACCATCTTCGCATATGGCCAGACTGGCACTGGAAAAACGTTTACAATGGAAGGTGAAAGGTCACCTAATGAAGTACATACCTGGGAGGAAGATCCTTTGGCTGGTATAATTCCATGCACTCTTCATCAAATTTTTGAGAAACTTACCGATAATGGCACTGAGTTTTCAGTTAAAGTGTCCCTATTGGAAATCTATAATGAGGAGCTTTTTGATCTTCTTAGTCCGTCTTCTGATGTTTCTGAAAGACTGCAGATGCTTGATGATCCCCGGAACAAGAGAGGAGTGATAATCAAAGGCTTAGAGGAAATCACAGTACACAACAAAGATGAAGTCTACCAAATCTTAGAGAAGGGGGCAGCAAAAAGGACAACTGCGGCAACCTTGATGAATGCTTACTCTAGTTGTTCACACTCAGTTTTTTCTGTTATGATACACATGAAAGAAATAACAATTGATGGAGAAGAGCTTGTTAAAATTGGAAAGTTGAATTTGGTTGATCTTGCAGGAAGTGAAAATATTGGGCATTCTTGAGCTGTTGACAAGTGGATCCAGGAAGCTGGAAATATTAACCAGTCTGAGTCTGGGGAGAGTTATTACTGCTCTTGTGGAAAGAATACCTCATATTCCTTATCGAGAATCTAAACTAACTAGAATCCTGCAAAATTCTCTTGGGGGATGCACAAGAACATCTATAATTGCAACCGTTTTCCCTGCATCTCTCAATCTTGAGGAAACTCTGAGTACATTGGAATATGCTCACAGAACAAAGAACATAATGAATAAGCCTGAAGTTAATCAGAAACTCACCAAAAAAGCTCTCATTAAGTTGCTTAACACAGTTAAAGAAACCACCAGGGATGTATCTTGTCTACATTGTAAACTGGACCGTAAAAGAGCAATCGATGAGCACAATTCAGAAGCTCAGAAGAGTTTTGGCAAAAACCTCAACCGTCTGTTTAATAACATGGAAGAATTGATCAAGAATGGCAGTGCAAAACAAAAGGCCATGTTAGACGGTCATAAGACTCTGTTTGGTAACCTGATATCTTCTAGTGTCTCTGCATTAGACACCATTACCACGACAGCACTTGAGTCTTCTTGCGTCTATTCCAAAAAATGTGTCAGATTTCTGATAGGATATTGGAAGAGCAACCGTTAGCAGCACAAAGTAAAACTGTGCTACAAGGATTGATTGATGAACTTGTGACCAACCTCTCCACTTCCCTGAAGACCATTGTAGCTCCTGGCGTGGTCTCCATCTTGAACATAAATAGGCAACTACACCATATTTTTAGGACTTCATCGACAGTGACTGAAATGGTAGAAGATCAAAAAAGAGAAATAGACAGTTTTCTCAGTGTATTGTGTAATAATTTACATGAACTCCAAGATAACACAGTTTCTGCCTTGGTTGAGTCACAAAAGCTTTGTGGAAACCTATCTAAAGGCCTGAAGACAATGAAGGAAACCGATTCTCAGGAACTTTGCCAGTTAAGCAATAGTTGGGCAAAGAGATTCTGTGCTTTGGAGAAGTATGAAAACATCCAGAAACCAAGGATCAGTATTCAAGAAAATACAGAGTGGAAGTCTACTGATATAATCAACAAAACAACAGTTCACAGTAAGAACATTATTGCTAAATCTGATGGATCATTACAAGAAGTCAGACACTTTAACCAAGAAGGCACAGTTGGTTGAAGAGTCTGTAGGACACTGCAGTTCACTCAGCAGCAACCTGGAGACTGTATCTCAAGAGATCACACAGAGGTGTGGGATCCTGAACACAAGCACAGTTCATTTTTTTGTTCAGTGGGCATCCTTCTTGAGCAAGAGGAAGGAAGAACTTGAGAACTTAATGGAGTTTGTAAATGGATGCTGTGAAGCTTCAAGTTCAGAGATCACTGAAAAAATAAGAGGACACACAGCAGCTATTGAGAACCAGCACAACTCCTTTATTGCTCAGATAACTTCTGATGAAGAAAAATTTAAAGCAGGAAGCCTGGAGCTTAGTGAAACTATAAAAACTGGTTTAGCAAAGCTTAATTGCTTTCTGCAACAGGATCTGAAACTAGATATACCAACAGACTAGATTCAAGCTCAACAGGGTCTTCTTTCACTGATGACTTGGCCAAGTCCATTCCCTTGGCTGTGGATTCACTAGATCGTAAGTATGGACAGTAGGAACCTTGTTCATATATTTTCCGTGTCACTAATTAGATGATGAGGTACCTTAAGAGAGTCATACCTATGCTGGCCATTTACCTGTGCTTCATTGGATTTTTTTTTTTTTTTTTGGACATTCAGAGCACTGGGCAGGAATCACACAGTATCAATACCTGCCACAGGCCTGTGTGATACTTTCGATTGGCCAAGGGCAACAAGAAGCCTGTGATTGGACAGGGAAAAAGGAAGCGGGGTGAAGAGTTTCAGAAATGGACAGGGGAGAGGGACAGAAGAAGAAAGGAAGATGGAAGAAGAAGACGATCCAGATTCCATGCGACTTTAAATAGCCACAGGTAGATATGAATATCATGAGGGTAGAATAATTGAGAGAACTTGTCTAATCTAGGTGGGCAGCTTATTATCAATTGGCTCTGAAATTATTGTGTGGGTATCATGTGAATAGAGAATTTATTGATATATCAATCTTATTGATTAAAAAAAAGAAATTAGGTGCTGAAGAAAGTTGGTAGATAAGCACTAGGACACCTGTGACATGACAAGAGAAAAGAGACTGGGAGAAAGTAGGCAGAGTGGATCAGGACAAAAGAGAAAGAGATGGGGAAGATGGGAGTCAAAGAGTATCTACCCTTTGGTTAATAACACCATAGTGATATCTGATATTTTATATGCTAATATAAAACTGAAGACAATTAAAAGCAAAGTCACCCACCTCTGATGTAAAGCTTACCTCAGTGTGTTGGGACATGTCTGTAAGCCTAGCACTCAAGTGACTGAAGCAAGAAAACTTTGAGTTCAAATACAGTCATGGCTACATATTGAGATAACAGGCTATTCTGACCTGCATTATGATATCATGTCTCTAAATAAACCAAACAGTTATCATCTGGAAAGAACACCGTTTTCATAATTTTTATAATGTGAAAGGGGAAGGACAGTGACAAGAGGTGTAAGTCCCAGAGGTGTCCAGGCAGAACACTTCAGATTCTGTGCTGGAGAATGAGACTTTTTATTTTTAACAATAGGGAAGTCACTGAGGACATTTAGGAGTTATGCAAACAGCCTGTGACTCACGATGGGACAACAGTGTCTCAAGAAGCACACTGCAAATTGACACTATGGTCTGTTCAAAATGATTTATAAAGACATATCCTGCCGCAGCAACAGGATGCTGTGCACATTTGGTCATTTACCCTGACTGTTGATGGTTTTTAAGAGCTATAGCTCACTACGTCTGCCCTATATCACAAGTCACTGTTTAACTATCTTTGAAAAGACCAAAATTCAAAATTTGTAGTCAGGTGTGATGCGTACTTACAGTCCTAGCATTCGGGAACCTGAGTCAAAGATTGCTGTGAATTTGAATGCAGTCTAGGGTACATAAAGAAGATCCTTTCTCCAAAAAAAGGGGTGGCATGGGGGGGGGGTGGAGAATAAGGTGCTGGAGAGATATCTCAGCAGCTTTTATTTGAGAGAACTAAATTCAGTTCTCAATACATTCATCACATAGAAGCTCGTGGCCTGCATCTTGAGTTCCAGGGAATTGCAAGCCCTTTTCTGACCTCCACAGGCCATAGGCATGTATAAGATAATCATATATACATGCAAGAAAAAATAATCATGCATTTAAAATGAAGGCAACAGCAAAAGTCAAATTGTGGATTGTAAAGAGTGTATATCACTTTTGTACTGTCATAGAGTTGAAAATCCTAAGTTAAACCACTCTAAGTCTAGGACTTTCTGTGTATGTTTAGTACATAGAGAGGTTCTTCTACCAGTAAAAAAAATAGCTTTAAGAGGAAGAGCATAATCCCCACAGAGAGAACAAAGACAGCATTAAAATAGGAAATGAAAGCATAGAGGTACAAGAAACATGAAGGAACAACCAAGCCACAGATCATAAGGGCTGACACCACCTGCTGTAGCACTGTTCTAATTTTTTTGCAGGTAATTGGTTTTCTATGCTTAAATATAGATTAGGATAATAATAAATACCCCAAATCATATCACCTGGACAAGGACATAGATTCAGTTTACTCATTCTTGCCAAGTAGGATGTCTAATTGAACCTAGAACAACACAAACATGTCATGAATATTGTGGGATCCTTCTTCCTATACCTAAAATTCTGTAGGCTTTTAAAAAACACAAAAATGAATGGATGGTATAGTGAGCTCCCTTAGAGAAGCATCTCTGAACCTATGGGTTGCGATCCCGTTGGTGGGTGGTTCAACTCTCTCACAAGAGTTGCCTAAGACCATCTAAAACTGACAGAAAACACAGAAACATGCATCATAATTCATAAAAGTAGCAAAATTACAGTTATGAAGTAGTAATGAAAATAACTTTATGGTTGCTGTCTCTACAACATGAGGAACTGCATTAAAGGGTCACAGCATCAGGAAGCTTGAGAACCATTCCCTTAGCAGGTGAAGGAACTTGCTTCCAAGCCTAAGTTTGATTCCTAAAATACCATGGAAGGAGATAGCTGACTCCCTTTGCAGGTTGTCTTCTGATCTCCAAATCCTTAATATTGTACATGCATAGCACCTCCCAATAAATAACTAGGTGTAGTCTAATAAATAAATTGAATCATCATATTCATTGTCTTTGTTTTTGGATTTTAAGGCACAGATTAAAAAGCAGATGTACACAATAGCTACCAAAACACCTATGTGTGTACTCATTTCTATAACCACTCAATAATCATGTGTAACCATGGGATAAGAAAGGAAACATGAGAATGTATCTCTCTTTAATTTCATTTTTCACATTAACGTGGTAGATATGCATGTGTGTCTGGGTGTATGAGTGAGCACCATGGGTCATTAAAACCCATGCTAGAATTAAAAGACCAGGTTGTGTGAGGAGGTGCAACAAGCATGTAGTTGCACAAAATTGATGCCAAGAATCTTCAATGATCTCTCTTCCATTTATTTACGAGGCAACATCTCTCAATTGAACCTAGGGCTTACAATTAGCTAAACTGGCAAACCAGATTGTCAAGAAGTCCTCCATCTCTGCCTCCTAAAATATGGGATTATAGGCTGCCATCACTCCTACTTGAAGTTTTATATAGATAGAGTCTAGAGATCTGAACTCCGATTCTCATATTGGAACTTAAAGTGCTTTACCTATTGAATGATCTTTTTAGGATCCTAAAGTGTTTATCTTTTGAGCCCAAACTTGATAAGAGTTCTCTAATGAGAAAAAAAGAGGAATAACCTAGAAATCAGAATTTATGTATGGATGAAACATGGGAAGATTCATAATTTAACTTGTTAGCATCTAGAAACAATACAGAGCCATAATATAAATCATCACATAAATATTTAAAAGAAGTTGCTGGTATTTTTTCATGACAGCGAAACAAGCATAGTTACTGAAATGTACTTAATATATTATTCAGTGCTGGGAGTTTAGGCAGTTGTTTCTAGTGTATATGCTGTTTCAGAAAACAATTCGATTCATCAGCCTAGTGGGCTATACTAGATCCAATAGAATGTTGGTGGACCTACAGACTCTGGGTCCCATGAACCACCCTGAGATGCAGCCTTCTGGTACCATGGCAACTTTCTCCATTTTCTCCTATTTCTATCCATTTTAACTATTCCTATATTTTAATATGTAATGTATTTTTTTCTTCCATGATTAGATGTACTCAACACCTTTCAACTCAGACTGAAATGTCCATCTGTCTACGTGTGATGCGGGAGAGGGTCTAGGTAGGATTCTTACGACAGGAATATAAGGAGACAACAGTTAACACTGGCTAACTGATCACCTTGTGCATAGCCTTTGAATTGACATTAGGGTATCCATATCCATTACTTCACTCATTCCCTTATCCCTCCAAACATTCAACAAATATTTACTGAATAACAATTTGTTACAAGAAATATCTTAGGTCCTGCCAATGCACTGAATTATTTTCCTTTTGGAACCTATACTGTAGTTATGTTTCTAAGAAAGCAAATGATGGAGATGTGCACGGGAGAGAGACAAATAGGTTCTCTCCATCTGTTCTTGTCATTAATGGACAGAAAACAAAGTAAGACAAAGTCTATGGGAACTGTAAAAAATGCAGAACAAGACATGAAGCTTAGAAAAGAAGTGGGTGGAGCAAATGTTTGATAGGTGCATCAGCAGACCATTGCAATTTGAATTTTCCTCTTGGTGAGACAATGACTGTCTATCTAGAGATAACTGAAGAGAAAATAGTATGGGTTTGAGACAGAATATAATCAACCTGTGCCAAGTGTTTTCTTGTCCAGGTGAGTGGAGAACTGGGAACATCTCAAAATAAACAACTCAAGGAGAGTGTTTTTAACACTCTGACATAACAGTCAGGCTTTATGTCCAGTTGAACCAGCAAAGTGGAAAACAATAAGGATACTGGACAGACACGAGAACTAAATGGAAAAATATTTTCAAGTAAGGAAGGATAAGCTCAAGTGAACGGGCTGAAGGATTAGTTTAGGGAAGAACAGCAAAGTATGAGGGTACCGCTACAGATACACAAGCATCCTTAGCTACAGAGGGGTTAGCTGAGGATGGATACGGTCAATGTCACTTCCAGATTACTCTCATCTTCTTTTGAAGTTATATTAAGTATATACTTGTCTGTGTTGTTATAATATATACTTATCTTTATTAGTTCTTATTATGACCCAGCCAGCCCTCCCCCAATAATTGAGACCTAGTGCTATTGACTTAGTCAGCTTAACAGACTTACTGGATTATTATCCCTAATCTACTTCACTATAGCTGGACTGGTTAATTCCTAGCTGCACTCCCCAAGTTACTTGCTGTTCGAGTCTTGCCTGGACTTCCTTTGTTCCGTCATCCATTAGGATGCACTTCCCTTGACCACCTGATCATCATGGTCTATTTCTTCTAATGACAGCT